ACTACATGGGAATCCAGCGACATAGCCATTACGCTAACTGCTGGTTCCCTCATTCAGAATTTTTAAAAACCTCTTCTCCATAATATATCCATGTAAGAGTTCTATAAAGATTAAGAAAACAGTTAAATGTCATAAATGTTCAAGAAAACGTAAAGTCTCAGTAAAAAGCATCTTTGTCATTAGTTGCATATTGCAATGACTACAACATTGTGAAAGTAGAAATGTATGTGTTTATTGAATTTGACTTTTTAAAAATTGTTGGTAATTTGCTAAGCCTACTCATTTCTATAGCCTACATTGCAGGCAGTTGCTTTGAATGAGCAAGGCTGACAGGATCAGAAAAAATAATTAAATTTTAAAACTACCACATTGGGACCAGCATATGGCAGAATAGTTATGTCACTGGACTCCCACTAGTAGACCATGGTTTCAGTCTTGAACCCGGCAACTTAAAATTCATGCCGGGTGCATGTGCATGCATACATAAGGTCCCAAGAGGAGAATAAAGGAGAAGGAATTGTGGCATGGCCATCTCCCCTGGAGGGTGATTTCTCACTTTTTGTCTCTCTGTATCTCTGGCTAGTGCACATGCCCTATAACAAAATCTCTTTTAAAAAAAATAAAAACAAATAAATAAATAAATAAATAAATAAAAACCAAAAACCTACCACATTGTTGGTGCATTCATTGTCTATCCTACTAGGATATAAACTCTTTCAGGACAGACACTGTCTCGTCCCCTGCATCACAGTGCCTATGACAACACCTGGATCAATTACCATTACTAAGATAAAATAAAAGACCTCTCCTCTATAAGTGCTCCACAAACTTTAGTTTGTAAGGTTGCTCCTGAAGTTACATGAAAATTACTAACAGGTATATTCCTGGGACTTAGTGAACCTAATGAAAGGCATAGGCTAATCGTTGTATGATAAACTGGCTCTGTGAAGGGAAGCTAAATGGACAGCACATCTGTATTCTGCTTGGAATTTAAGGAAGGGGAAGCCAAGGAGCATCCATCTGCTAAGTGTACACCATGAAAGAGAAAGGGAGATCACGTAACATGGACATTCCCAGTCTCTGGAACCTGTAGGTTTTATGAAGCTAAGGGAGCCTTCATGGCCTCTTTCACTCTGAACAAAAATATACACCAAGCCACTCTCTGATCACACACTCACCGAGCAATCTTTAGGAATCTACTATAGGTCAAGAACAATTCAGTGTTAAATATGGAATGATGAGCAAAGCCATCCTCATCCTCAACAAAATTACACTCCAGTGAAGGAAATGTATAATTATAATAAAATTTTATAATATGAAATGGTCATATAGTCATAGATCACCAGTTCATTTTCCTGACTATGTTGGCTCCTAGGCATGACCAGCCTCCTATATTTTTCTGTTAGGGCTTTTATTCCTTCATTTGTTTTAATGTATAATTTAAGATCAATAAATCTAGTTGAATTCAGGCAGTTAACTAGAACTGTTGCAAGATTTCTGGTTTGCCAAGTTCATATCTGGGTCGTTAAGAATTAGAAGCATGGAGGCCAGCAGGTGCGTTGGACTCCCACATGGCTGACCGTGTTTCGAGTCCTGGACCTGGTGGCTTCCTTTCTCAGTTTCCCTTTCTCTCTCACCCTGCCCCTCTTGGGTCAAATTAAATAAATAAGGTTAAATAAAATAATTCTTTTTTTAAAAAAAAAGGAATTAGAGGCATGGACAATCAGAGGGAATAGCAAAATCAAAGTTTCTTGAGAAAGAATGAATAAGCTTCCAGGCAGGAAAGGGTCCCAAAAGTGGATAGCTGATTTGGGGATTGGGTCTAAGGCTTATACCCTAGCTAGGAGGAATTTGTGTAGCCATCCCTTTCCAGGTGGAAGTCACATGTCAGGTGTGTCCAGCCATTCTCCTGATTGTGGAGTGGTTATGTAGATTGTGAGACCCTCTTTATCTAAAGGTTTGGGCCTTAAAGACCCTTATCTTGCTTTTGGAAGACCAGTGTCTTATTCTTGGATTGTGGTGGGACCTGGAAAAAGACAGCTATTTTAAGGAGCTGCAGCAGTTCCTTGAGTGAGTAAACTGTGTGAAAACAATCTTCGGAGAATGATTTCTAAGGAAAGTTAAAAATGAGTGTGCAAACAATTTCCAGTTAATAATACATTTCCTCATAAGGTTTTTGCCATACCAGTGAATGATTCTTACAGACAACGGCGTCTCCTCCTTTTGAACCTATACTTTAACTGTGTGTGTGTTATCTGTTTCTTCTCTCAGAACAAGATAATGAGACTGTACCTGAAGAACTGACAGCTTCTAGAGATGGAAATGGAAGAACCATTCCTGAATCCATCCACTTAGTATTATTTCTAGCAGACCTTTCTTAGCAAGCAGACATCTTTCCTTTTGCTATCTTTTTAAAAGTTCAGCACAGACATCTCATCCACAGAAAGAACAGATTGCTTAACTATCTTCCAGGAACCATGTCATTTACTAAATATAAAAATTAGCAACATAGCCTTTAAAAAATAAAAGCTTAAACAATGAGTAATTTTTACCCACTTCAGTGTTAAATGGTAGATATTAACTGATTTCTAGCAGTCTGTAACTTCAGTGAAGCTTGTGTACACTGAAGCATTATGTACCTTAATGCCATATTACATTATTTTCCATGTTCTTTAAGAAGCATCACTGTGGAACAGCAGTTGGCATAATGGCTATGTCACTGGACTCTCATGTAGTCAAGCACAGTTCGAGTCCTGGATCCGGTGGCTTAAACTCATGCCGGGCACATGTGCATGCGTGCCCAAGATCCCAAGAGGAGAATGGAGGAGAAGGGATTGCGGAGTGGCCATCCTCCCTGGGGGGGGACTTCTGTCTTTCTTTCTGTCTCTCTCTGTCTTTCTGGCAAGCGCACATGCCTTATAGCAAAATCCTCTCCAAAAAAAAAAAAAAAGCATCACTCATTCACTTAAGAAAATATCTGTAACTGAAACACACACTTATTACCTACTGTGTGCCATGCACCATGCTAGGTACATAGTGAGTAAGACATATCTGCTGCCCATAGGGAGCCTTTAGTTCAGCTGAAAGACGGAGAAGCCCACTGGCAGTTACAACACAGAATGGAAAGTTCAGTGATAGGACAAGCCCAAAAGCACACAGCA